CATCCAGAAATAACAAGTCTAAGTTCTCATTCTTTTTATAAGCATTGGTAATTCGATCTAGGAAAACAGCTCTAATGATACAGCCTCCTCTCCAGATCCTTGAAATTTCTCCAAGGTTTAAATTCCATTTCATTTCTCCTGATACTTTCTTTAGTAAAAATAATCCTTGTGTGTAAGATATGATTTTGCAACAATAGAGAGCATTTAACAGATCGTCCTCAAAATGGATCAAATCTTCCCCCTCTACTTTGCACACTTTCATTTCGTTACAAAAATGGTTATCTGCTTTGATTCTCAACTGTTTGTATGCACTTATATTTCTTGCATCCAAAGCTGCAGACATTGTTGGGCATGGAATTCCCCTCTCGATAGCTTCTAACATGGTCCACTTTCCGGTTCCTTTCGCCCCAGCAATGTCTAATATCATATCTACCAGGTGGTTATCTGTTAAATCGTCTTTCTTGCCCAAAATTTTGTAGGTTATTTCGATCAGGTAAGAATTTAAAATTCCTTCATTCCATTTTTTAAAAACGTCAGACAACTTCTCATTGCTATAATTGAGAATATGCTTCATTAGTAGGTAGCTCTCTGATATTAACTGCATGTCTCCATATTCGATCCCGTTATGTACCATCTTCACATAGTTGCCTGATGACCTGGGTCCTATGTAGGTAACACAAGGTGATGTGCCTACCTTAGCTGAGCATTTTTCTAAAATGTCCTTAATGTTGTCATAGGCATATTTAGATCCTCCTGGCATGAATGAGCATCCGTGTCGTGCCCCTGCTTCTCCTCCACTGACTCCCATGGCTAGATACTCTACTTTGTGTTCCTCACAAATTGAGATTCTCCTTTCTGTGTTCAGATACCATTCATTTCCTCCGTCAATAATAATATCTCCTTGTTCAAAATGTTTTAAAATATTTTTGATTGTTTCGTCTACGGCTGGTCCGGCTTTTATCAGTAGGATAATTTTCCTGGGCTTCTTTAAGTTGTTTATTAACTCTTCCAACTTTTTATATCCGTAAATGGGTAGGTTACTTTCCTTTGCCTTCTTCATCGTGTCCTCCGTCTTCTCGTACGTCCTATTGTACACTCCTATGGTAAATCCGTTGCTCGCTATGTTGAGGCTAAGGTTCTGTCCCATCACCGCCAGACCGATTAGTCCTATGTCGCACGTGCCCGTCATTTTGTTCAAGCAGCGATGGCGGTGCGGTAGATACGTAAGTGGTGGAGGGAGAGATACACACGGCGGTAGATGCTGAGAAAGGGTGGGATATGCGGGTACACGCAAAAATATACAGTTTACACTTTATACGATATGCACTCTTGGAGCTTGGGAGAACTTCCTCTCATAAGGGAGGCACAAGGAGTGATGCCCTTTTTTTTTTTTAGCGCCCACTAGGAATAGACTTGCTAACAGCGCTAGGGGGGAGGGACTCCTAAATAAGGGCGTTCCCGTGTGTAGAGAAGTTCGTCGTTTTATATCCCCTTCGGTGGGGCAGGAAAAAAGCTGCCCTTTCTCTTGCCCTCTTCGCGGAAAGCTTATGGGGGGATGCGCCTACACGGTCATATAAGTACGCATATATATAGATGCACCTACTTTTTCTCTTTTTTTGTGCTTGCCGTTAGGATCGTTTGCTTTACTCTCTGCTGCCTCGGATTGGATAACTCTCCATGCGTGATGACGCTGACATAAAATTTTGCCTCTTCTGTTTGTTCACTAAAAGGAATATTTTAAAATTTTGAAGTTTTTTTTTTTTTATTTTTTATTTTTGCATTTGTTTTTTTATAGCATGCGAGAGAATTCCTGTGAGAAAGTTTTTCACTGACGAGCGGATCGACAATGGGTACACGTATTCTCTGTAGCACGGTTATTTTTGCGTTGACTCTCGTTCGGAAGCAGCGTGTAAGTGGCGTCGCCGTGATGCAGCGGCTGCGGTTCCTTCCCAACGCGGGCAATAAGCAACGGCGCGATGAGTAGGCACCACTATTTAAGAGGCCACAAAAGATATTCTTTACGGGAAATTATAATATGAGAGAGTATTTCATAGGAGAGAAAACTTTGGGGTCTATTTAACCATCTAGAAAAGGTGATAAAAATGAACCACGTGACAGGGTGTATATATGACTTTTCCTTTTTTTTTTTTCCTTCCCCTGGGCGGTCGACCGTATGTATGACTGCGCCCATGGAGAAATTCCCTCCTGGGTGCACCTTTTTTTTTTTCGCAACGTTGCAGGGGGAACATAAGTACATGCATTGTATAAGTACATGTTCTCCCATGTAGGAAAGGCCACTGTGCACTTGTAGCACAAGATAAAGTAAGAGATCTCCTGCCTGATTTTCCTGATCGCGCTAATTGCACATCTCCATGTGGAAGGAACAAACAGCAAGGCACTCTCCTGTGACTTCCCGATTGGCGCAGCGGCCATCAACCCTTCCTCCAGATTGCAGGAAAATTTTGTGGCTGTACTTTTTATAGTAACTTATGCGTAAGCAATCACGCACGAATGTATGCACTTAGCACGCCCAAGTGGTTAGGCACCACGAGGGGGAGAAAGCTTCGCATCGCAGTAATTTAAAGAGGAGTGCCGAGTAACACCACAGATAGTTGTATCTCGCGGAAATTGGTCAACCTGTTTGGAAAAAACAAAAAAAGGCATACGGTGAAGGCAAAGGCGAAGCAATATAACCGATTAGATGAATGAGGACAGTGAGCAGCCGATAAATGATAAAGCAACAAAGGGGAAAGACCCTCCTAAGCGTTTCAGTGGATGGTCTTCTCCACCCACTCCATTCACACCGGCTCCGTAAGTACCCAAATAAATTCACTTAATAATGATTAAATTTATCTCTAGTCTACGCAAAGGAGCCTTTTTAAGAAGATACAAGGAGCTGATCCCCCCATGCTATAGCAACACAAGTAGGAGTTCACCTTTGTGCAAAAGGAGTTTAATAAACGAGACGAATCCCCTAAGCAGAAGCTACACAACACTATCGGAAGAAGCTGTGAAGGCTATAACGAATCTAAAAGAAGTGGTAAAAAAACCGGATAAAAAAAAAAAAAACATTACAAGAGAGACTCTTAAAAATTGCCAAGGCCATAAAAGACGTTATAAATTATTTGGAGACAGGGAAGAATTTCACAACATCGATAGGGACAAAAATAATCTCATTATAGAACCTACCGATTCGTTTCGAGCCGTAATTACGACATCGAAAAATAATGTCCATATTCAGGTTGTTAACAAAAGTAAAAATTACAAAACGGTGTTTGGATCCTTTGCAGGAAACGTGGGCTTTACAAAGTCTCTGCAACAAAGTGAAAGGTGCGCCTACAGAATAGGAGAAAATATCGCCAAAAAATGTCGGAGGCTGGGCATATTCAGCATCGACATAAAATTTAGAAGAATCATGAGAGTAGAGACTGTTTTGCAAGCTATGTATGCCAACAATTTAAACATTACACAAATTATTCACGAGCCTAGATTGCCCAAGTGTGGATTAAATGCCTCCAAACCAAGGAAGAGGAGGCGTGTATAGGGGTTAGGTCAGGAGAAAAAAGTATGGGAATTTATCTGCACTAACGCAGAAATGTGCCATAAACAATCGATAACAGTTCCCGTGAACTCTCTTTTAGCAGATGGGCAGTCCTTGCCGAATAACGCCCCGTCTAATTTGCTTACCTGCTCGTGCGAAGTAGACAAGGTACAACCATTTCGCAACAAAGGGGTAACGGTTTGATTCTTTTACGAGGATCAAATGTGTCATTTTTTTTTATCTTTTTTTTTCAACCATTTGGGCTGTCCCGCTGGTTGGATCCCCCCCGCAGTGGACCATATAGATCCGCATAACAAACGCCTACGTGAGCAAATGTCACCTCGCGGAAGCTTTGCCCCTGTGGTGAACTGATTTGAAAAAGAAAAATTCAATTTTTTTACAAACCTGTTTTACCAAATTGCGATTATAGAAATGATTAAAAAAGTTGAAAGGGCACGAAAAAGAAAAAGGGGTAACTTGCTGCAACATGGACATGCATACGCACGTGCATACATGAGTGGGTAGCTCCAAAATGGGCAACTTCAAATATGATACA